TCCTCTTTCAGGGCCTTCGAGTTGTAGTATTGGTTCTCTAAGTCCACGTCCGGCTCACTGTTGCTGTCCTCCGAGTACTCCTGAAGACAAGCGGCAATCAAACAACACATGAGATGACAATTGCGGCAACTCTTTGCGGCCACACATCACTCATACCAGATCGTAGTCCTCCTCGTCATCGCCGCACATGAAATCGTCGTCCGGATCAGACATCACACCAGTTCTTCGACGGTTAGCAATCGCTGAGCGGTTAAACCAATTGTCTCCTCACAATTGGATGGATGTCTTATTGACCACCGATTGTATGGATTGACCACCAATTCAGGGATCAATCGGCGAATGAATGGATTGAATGCTGGACTCAATCAACACAACAATCGGTTATTGTATTTGTTATCGCTTTTCAAAACGTGACACTAAATAATGGACTCTTCGCTCACTTGCCATCAATTATGGCATCAATTCATGCAATACTCGCATCACATATGCCTTCATATGCCTTACGTTTCGACACAAAGGGGACACATATTATACACACATCGATGCCGTTATTTACTGAATAGAGGTGTTCGCCAGAGTTGTCAAAACTCGCATATTGTTTATAAGTTTGAAAACATAGAAAACGGTTTTCAGTATATATTTAATTATTTTAAAACATTAATATTAAACCCATATTAAGATATAAATTGATTAAAATATTTAAATTAATTTATAAACAAAAAAGTGACTAAAAATTTGATTAAATCATTGAATAATAAAAGTAGAAACCGTTGAGACGTCTACTCAATTGAGCGCCATTTATATAGTGAACCAACGCTTCATTTGAATTGCATTTTTGCCTATCGTTTGACACATTGTTTTGGCCACTAATTGATCCGATAAGTGATCTGAAGAGATGCCGGAAATAGATTCGTCGCTTCTGTTGACCCAAACGTTGGGCGACAATGAGTTGACAGAAGAGGTGAAGAAGTGTCGGATCCTTTTGGTGGGCGCCGGAGGTATCGGCTCCGAAGTGATCAAAGACCTGCTGTTAATGGGCTTCGAGACCATTGATGTCATCGATTTGGACACAA